GTGAGCAGCGGTCGACGAGGGGAGCTCGGCGACAACCGCTGATGGTTCTGGTCGACGGAAGGGGTCCGTCGACCAAGGGGTAGCTCGACGGGAGTTGTGGTCGACCAGAGGCACCTGGTGGTCGACCGGGTCGACCGGGTAACCTGCTCGACGAGTTCTGCGGAGGCACGCGAACGTCGTCAAGGATGCGATGGCGCAGGCGACTGCGGGCTGGTATCCCGGAGTCGATGTGGCTCGTCAGGCGCAGACAACAGCCGACGGATGCCCAACGTGGCAAGTCGGGCCAATCGTCTGCGCGCATCTGCGAGCGTGCGCACTGGTGTGTTCTACGGGGCGACGCTAGGCAGCCGCTCTACTGCAGCGTTGGCACGCCGTCGACCTGCTCTATTGGCAGGTCGCCCTTCTGCAGTGCTGGTGCGGCTCCTCTACGCAACGCTGGCAGGCGGTCGACCGAGCTGTGCTGGCGGTCGACCAGGCTAGCAGCAGGGTTGCTAGGTGCCTGATGTAGTCATTGTTGTCATTGCTTGTTCAATTATTCTGTAATTCCAACTTTGCTAGTGAAAACTCTTGCCGATTTCTCCCGTGAATATGCAAGCACTAAGGAACCAAGCAAAGCTACGATTACTCCTAGTGGTTCGTGCCAACCCCCGTGGTCTAGCTCACTACTATTGTAGAGTGACTCTCCTCATGGTGCGGTGAGCGTGGACGGCCCCGCAGATTACCTTCAGATAGGAGCCGACTTTTGCACCTACTAAGTCGTTCGTAGGCCGGCAGCCGCGATAGTCACCATGGTTGACCCCGTAGTTGATGCGGGTGTAGCGGACACCTTGGAGACACGCTTGGCTGATGCGAGGAAACGCCACGCGGATGGCGAGTACGGGACGATCCCCTTGCTGATCGTCGAGTTGGGCATCCGGTCGAAGTGGGCGACGGAACACCCTTCCCGTCCTGCATCTCCTCGACCAGTGCGCAACGAGGGTGGCGTTGACGACGAGGTCGACGGTGGTGCACGAGTCAGCGGCAGCGAAGGCACGAGGCAGAGAGGGGTGATCAAGGTTGACGGTGGTGTCGACGGAATCCAGGCGCGAGTGCAGCGGTCGACGGCGGCTGCAGGCAGCTTGCGTGTCGACGTCGATGTTCGACGTCGCTCTCCTCTACGGAGCGGTGGAGGGTACTCGACGACGACGCATGTGACGGCAGGCGGGATTGCACCGGCGTATAGCTACTTCAAGTTCTCGCCGGACCGGATCACCGTCGCACCACTGCAAGGTCGACGGGACCTCATCACCTAGAGGGAGTCGATCGAGCCTCAGCTGGAGGTCGCCGGGCTGAAGGGCTTCGCCGACGGCACAGTGCCAATTCCGCCCGTGGACGATGTCGAGCTGCGCGGGGAGCTTCGAGCGGCTCACTTGCTCACCTTCATGGTCATCTCGAGGTGCTGCTCACCGGTGGTGCAGCTGGCGCTCAGGAGCTGTCAAGAGCGAGTCGATGCTAGTCACCAGGCATGGCACTTCATCATGTCGACGTACCAGGTCAGTGACGACCTGTACATCGGGCAGCTGGAGGAGAAGATGACTCACATTCGAATGGGCGAGCAGGAGTCGGCGACGGATTACTGCAACCGTGCTCGACGGATCCTGGCTGAGATGCGGATGGCAGGCGCCGAGTACTTGACGACGTCCTACATCACCCACATCGTCAAGGGCCTGCCGCGCAGCTACAATTTCATGAAGAGGATGATGATGGTACCCGGCACGCGTGAGTCCCTCGACGAGGACTCCATCACCAGCTACATTCTCCAGGATGAGGCGATGTAGGAGGCAGAACAGCCCACGGAGTTCCTTCCGCAGACGAGTTACGCTGCACGGACGAAGCCGAATCATCAGCAGAGCAGCGCGGGAAGCCGGGCGCAGGTGGTAGCGGAGGTGGGCGGTCGACGAAGGACGTCGACGAGAAGCGGTCGACGCGGGACAAGGGTCGACGAGGTGGTGGTCGACGGCGGGAGTGCTGGATCTGCGGCGACCCCGGCCATCTCTCCTTCGAGTGCCCCGACCGCGATGACAGCGATGAGGACGACAACAAGGGAGGCCGTGGTCGATCGGCCAGTCGTCGCCCCCGTCGAGATGAGAAGTCGCGCGAGGAGAAGCAAGCGTCGAAGAAGATGTCGTCGACGAAGGACGTCGACAGCTCCAGCGGAAAGATCCGAGGCGACGGGGAGTCGTCGTGCTCGATGGTCGGCGTGATGGAGCCGACGGTCTCGCTGGCGCCGGAGGTTGGCGAGGACTTCCAGGCGGTGGCGGCAGCTGTGCAGGCCAACCCGATGGTGGTGCTGCTCGACAGCGGGTGCTCTCACCACCTGATGGGGACGAAGTCGGTCTTCGTCGACATGGGGCCGAGCGACGGGGTGAAGCACGTGCGTGGATTCAACGGGGCATTGCAGCCTGTTGAAGGTCGCGGAACCGTCGCTCTGCAAGGGGAGGCCGGGAAGCAGGTCCTCATCCCCGACGTACTCTACGTTCCGGGCGTACAGGCGAACCTGCTGTCTGCTGGCCAGCTGAAGGAGAGCGGACTGCTGCTGCAGGGCGATGGTGACAAGATGCTGCTCGTCACCACGACCGGGGAGGTGCTCGGTCGAGCACGCTATATTGGACGAATCCTCTGCACCGACCTTCGCTCCTGCTCGACGCAGTCGCAGTCGACCGAGGTGGTGGCGCTGCGGACGATCGTCTCGACGAAGACGTCGACCCCTGATCGGCTGCATGAGAGACTCGCGCACGTCAGCGTCGACATGATCAAGAGCTCGGCGAAGCATGAAGTTGCTGTTGGGCTCGACATCACGCCGTCGACCGGAGCAGATCCGTCGTGTGTCTCGTGCGTCGGAGGGAAGCTGGCACGGCACACCTTCCCCGACAAGGGCTCGGATGCCGAGGAAGCATTCGCTGTCATGCACATTGACTTGTGCGGGCCATTTCAGGTGGCTGCCAAGGATGGCAGCTTGTACTTCTTGCTGCTGAAGGATCGCCATACTCGGTCCGTGTGAGCAATGCCGGTCTCTAAGAAGAGCGACGTGCTACGGGAGTTCGAGAAGTGGCTGGTGCTTGTGGAACGACAGACGAAGAAGTCGGTGCTGTCGCTCCGATCGAGGAGGGGAGTTCCTCGGCAAGGCGTTCACCGACTTCGTCGACGGGAAGGGCATCGTCCACGACCTGACGTGCCCCTACACTCCGCAGCAGAATGGGATGGCTGAGCGGGAGATGCACACGGTCGTCGAGTCCGTGCGGACGATGCTGCTGCACATGGGCGTGCAGCATCACTGGTGGCACCTTGCTCTTCGCCAGGCGGTCTGGGTGCGCAACTGCTTGGAGCGGTCGACGACGCCGCCGGCGACGACTCCGTACCAGCTGCTGACCGGGACGAAGCCCGACCTCACGCTGGCGCGGGTGTGGGGCTGCATGGTGCAGTTCATGGTTCCTGAGCAGCAATGCGGTGGGAAGCTGGCGCCGAAGGCTTGCTGGGGGCTTCACTTGGGTGTGTCGCCGGAGAGCAAGGGCTGGGAGGTGCTCGACCTGACCGACAACAAGGTGGTCACGTCGGTCGAGGTGATCTTCTACGAGACGCTGTCGCTTGAGGTGTGGAAGGCGAAGTATGGGCCAGCGTCGGAGCGGACGCAGGCGCACCCGCCAACGGACACCTCGACGGCGACGATTCCGTTGCTTGCCGAAGTCGACGAGCCTGCTGGTGAGGATGTTGTGGAGGTTCTTCCCCCTTCCCCTGTCCTTGCTCCTCCGTTCCCCGTCGCAGATCGGCCTGGGTCGGCACCTGTGTCGACCACCGACGATGAGGGGAGCCTTGAGGCGACGCCTGTGGCGCCGGCCCATGGCATCGCCGGCGGTTGACAAGGCGCCAAGCTCGTGGACCAGGATGGGAAGCGGTCGGCGACAGGGGAGCAGCAAACAGGGGAGCCGGTCGAACAGGAGGCAACAGCAGCGGTGCAGCCGACAAGGGAGCAGCAGCCGGGGCGGTCGACAGGGGAGCTGTCGAAGTCAGCAGCAGACGAGCAGCCGGACGACGAGTCGAAGCACCAGGTCGACGACGAGGACGTCGACGAGGAAGGGGAGCAGTCGGCGGGTGAGGAGTCCACCGAAAGCGACGTGGTGGAAGTGCCAATTACGAAGCCTGAGCTGCGACGCACAGGTCGAGCTCGACGGCCACCGGAGCGGCTGAGCTTCCACGCCTGCATACCGCCAGCTGCCTTCACCACGGTGTTCGACGAGGTCGACGACGACCTGTTGTACGACGACGCCGAGGAGGATGAAGACCTGCCGGAGCTCGACCCCGACATGCATGCCGACCCCGAACACCGTTGGGACATCGCCACGATGACGGTGAAGGAGGCACTGTCGAGTTGGAAGGGCGAGGCGGTGAAGGCCGCCATGGAAGAAGAGATTCGCAGCCTCATCGGCATGGGCATTTGGGAGCTGGTCGAACGCCCACGTGGGGTGAACATCATGAAGAACCAGTGGGTGCTGACGACCAAGTACCGCATCGACGACACCGTCGAGCGCGAGAAGGCAAGGCTGGTCGTGAAGGGCTTCACGCAGGTGTACGGTGCCGACTATGACGAGACGTACTCGCCGGTGAGCAGCTACGTCACGCTGAGGATCTTCCTCAGCATCGTCGCCGTCCTCGACCTCAACCTGATGCAGCTCGACATGAAGAACGCTTTCCTGCAGAGCAAGCTCGACAGGGTGCTCTACATGTACCAGCCGGACTACTTCGATGATGGGACCGGCCGGGTGTGTAAGCTGCTGAAGAGCCTCTACGGGCTGAAGCAGTCGCCGCTGCTGTGGTACAGGGCTCTCGACGGAGTGCTGCTGGGCGCTGGCTAGAAGAAGAGTCAGGTCGACGAGGCGCTCTACTTCAAGACTGGCGGCGACGGAGTGACCTGCTGGGTGCTGGTCTACGTCGACGACCTGCTCGCCGCCAGCAGCAGCATCGCGATGCTGAACGAGCTGAAGGAGCTGCTGGAGGCCGCCATCCCTCCTTCTCTCATACCCGCCTCCCCTCTCTCCTCCCCTCCGTCATACTCTCATCCCGTCCTCCCCTCTATCAGCCCATCCCTCCATCTCTCATCCCCTCCTCCTTCCTTCTCTCATCCCCTCCTCCCATCGCACGTCCCCCTTTCCCATCTCTCATACCCTCCTCCCATCTCCCATTCCCCCCCTCCTTCTCTCATACCCGCCTCTCCTGGCTCCTCCCCTCCGTCATTCTCTCATCCCGTCCTCCCCTCTATCATCACATCACTCCTTCTCTCATCCCCTCCCTCCCAAACTCATCCCCTCCCTCCCCTACGCATCCCCTCCTCCCATTGCTCCTCCCCCCTTCCCATTGCTCATCCCCTCCTCAATTCTCTCATCTCCACCCTCATTCTCTCATCCCCGCCTCCCCTCCCTCCTCCCATCTTACCTTCTCTCATTCCCTCCTCCCCTCTCTCATCCCCTCCTCCCCTCTTTCAGACCATCCTCCTTCTCTCATCCCGGCTGTCCTTCACTCGTCCCCTCCTTCCTTCTCTCATTCCCTCCTCCCATCGCTCCACCCCAGTTCCTTCTCTCATCCCCTCCTCCCATCCCACCTTCTCGCATCCCCTTCCTCCTTCTCTCATCCCCGCCTCCCCTCGATCCGCCCCTCCGTCCTTCTCTCATCCCGTCCCTCCCTCACTCAACCCCTCCGTCCCTCGCTCATCCCCTCATCGCCTCTCCCATCCCCTCCTCTCCTATCTCATCCAATCCGGAGCCTATCTCATTCCCTCCTCTCCTCTCCTCCTCCCCTGTCTCTTCCCCTCCTCCCCTCTCTCATCCCCTCATTCCCTCTATTATTTCCTCCTCACCTCGCATTCCCCCCCACTTTCCATTTCTCATCCCGTCCTCACATCTCTCATGACCTCCCCCTTTTTCTCACCCCCGTCCCCCCCTCACTCATCCCTCCCTCTCCTTTCTCATTCCCTTCTTTCCTCTTTCATCCATTATGATCCCCCTCTATCCTCTCAGGACCATGTCCTCCTCCCTCTCATCCCTCCCTCTCCACTATCATCTCGTCCTCCCCTCTCTCATCCCTCCCGTCCCTCTCTCCTCCCGTCCCCCACTCACTCATCCCTCCCTCTCCTTTCCCATCCCGGACTCTCCTCTCTCATCCCTCACTCTCATCTCTCATCCCTCACTCTCATCTCTCATCCCTCACTCTCATCTCTCATCCCGTCCTCCCCCTCTCATCCGTCCATCTATCGTCCCTTCCTCCGCTCTCACGTCGTCTCCTCTCCTCTTTCATCCCGTCCTCTCCTCTCCCATCTCGTCCTCCCCTCTCTCATCCCTCCCTCATCCCTCGCCACGCCACGATGTAAGTTCCCGAACGCCGCTTCATCGCCGCCTCGCCACCCCGCTAATGCAATCGCGTCCACATCACCGCCACGCCGATGCGCCTCCTCAACGGCTTGCAGCCTCCATGTCGCGCCTCATCACCTACGCCTCCACCGCCGCCTCGTTACCTCCAAGGACGAAACCTGATCCCTTTTCCGTTCCCATCTCTCCCAAGGTCGCAACTCCCTTTTCCCCCATGTCACACTTCCCCTTTCCCCCAAGTCGCACCTCCCCTTCCGAGCAAAGTCGCACCGCCACTATCCCCCAAGTCGCACTTCCCCTTCCACCTAACTCGCACTTCAACTTCCCCACAGGGCGCTCCTCCCCTTTACCCCAGGTCGCACCTCCTCTTCCCCCAGGTCGCTCATCTCCTTTTCCACAGGTCGCACTTCCCCTTCCCCTCCACTTCCCCTACCCCCGCGGGTCTCTCCTCCCCTTTCTCCCAGGTCGCCATTCTAAACCCCCCCAAGGTCGCTCCTCCCTGTCCCCCAGGTCGCTCCCCCCCTTTCCCCCATGTCACACTTCCCGATTTTTCCTCACAGAGCACCTTATCACTCCCTCACAATGCACTACCCCTCCCTTCACTATGACTTCCTCTCCCCTCCAATCCCTTTTATTCTCTTCGCTTCCCCCCCTTGCTTCCTCTAATTTCCCCCCTTGCTTCCTCTAATTTCCCCCCTTGCTTTCCCTACGTTCCCCCCTTGCTTCCCCTCCTTTTCCCCCCTGCTTGCCCTCACTATTTCCGTGATTCGCGTCCTCTGTTTTTCTCTTGCCTACCCACCTGTTCGCCTGTGCTTGCCCTCTCAGTGTCCTTGTCATGTCCCCCCGTGTCCTCCTCTCCCGCCGTGTCCTCCTCTCCCCCCGTGTCCTCCTCTCCCCCCGTGTCCTCCTCTCTCCCCCTTGTCCTCCTCTCTCCCCAGTGCCCTCCCTTCTCCCTTCTCTTTCCCTCATGTACCATCCTCCTTTCCCTTATTTCCCCTCTCCAACCCCTCATTTCCTACCCTCTTTCCCTCTGTTTCCCCCTTTTCTTCCCCGTTGCTCTAGGTTTTCCCCCTTGCGCCTTCATTTCCCACTCTGCTTCCCCTCTTTCCCCCCCTGCTTCCCCCCATTCCCCCACCTCCTTCCCCTCGTTCCCTCCCCCTCCCCTCCCCCCCCCCCCCCCACCCCCCCCCCCCCCCCCCCCCCCCCTGCTCTCCCTTTCCCACCATCGTGCCCACTCAGTTTCCGTGTTGCTTGTCCCTGTTTCTCCCGCCCCCCCGCCCTTCTCCCTTGTGAGCTTTTCTTTGCAGCATGGAGCAACAAAGTACAATATGATTTTATTTTAGGCTACTGTGTGCCCTCGTGCCATCCGACGGCACATTACAACACATTGATACTGTACTCAAGTTTAGGTTCATGCTGCTGTCATGACAGCCTCTTAGTATTGTGTGTAGCCCTTTTAGAACCATATCCAAGTCAGGCGACAAGATGTGAACCTTTTAGAACCATTGTATGAGATGTAAATACACATTATAAAAGCATGCAGTATCAAGAAACAAGCTCGAGCCTTTGCTCCGTTTGAATCTGCTGGCGGTCCCTTTACGTGATGTAGCTCATCTGCGCCTTTGAGGTGATGAAAGCAGATGCAAGGTGAGGCGGCACGCACGTCCATGCAGTTTGTCTGAGCCTTGCGCCTTGCTCGTCTAGGATGGTGAGGGGATGGGGCAGGGCGGAGCGAGGGGATGGGGCAGGGCGGAGTGAGGGGATGGGACAGGGCGGAGAGAGGGGATGGGACAGGGCGAAGTGAGGGGATAGGTCAGGGCGGAATGAGGGGTTGGAATAGGGCGGAATGAGGGGATGGGACAGGGCGGAATGAGGGGATGGGACAGGGCAGAGAGGGGGCATAGGATAGGGCAGAGACGAGTGAGGACAAGGAAGGGAGGTGATGTTACACCCCCGGAATAGGCACTGCGGCGGAAAGGGGGAGAGGCACTGTGACGGCGTGGGGAGAGGAGATGAGAGGCGAGGGAAGAGGCGTGGCGAGAGTGACGGGAAGGGCGCTGTGACGGCGAGGGGAGAGGCGGCGCAGCGATGGCGACAAGAGAAGCTGCGACGGCGAGTGGAGAGGCGCATCCGAAGGTAAGGAGAGAGGGGGGTGAGGGCGATGGGAGAAGCTCTGCGACGGCGAGGGGCGTGCACTGTCCGAGCGAGATATGCGCTGTTCTGGCTGACGAGAAATCCCCTGTGGCGCGTGGGGAGGGGTCCTCTCAGGTGGAGTTTGTAAGGAGGAAAGGGGGAAGGAGGCAGAGAGGGGAAAAGAGGCAAAGGGATTAAGGCAGAGAGGGGAAAGGGGGAAAAAGGGTGAAAGTGGTGGTGGCAGTGGTGGTGAGAGATTGGCAGATGAGGGACGAGATCCAGTGACTGGATGGGCAAGGAGGCTCAAGACTGACCAGAGACGGGGATGACTCAGAAGCGGGAAGAGGGAAGGTCGGAAGGGGTCGCTGACTCGGGGAACACAGTACCAATGGAGCGAGAGTGGGGCTACGTGAGCAAGTGAGGAAGCACACTGACGGAGCACGCAAGGCAGTGACGAAGTGGGTACGACAGGGAGCACACGTACGGAGCATGCAGGGCAGAAGGAGCATGCGACGACGCCCTATCCGTCACCGATGCCAACTGGGACACCACTCTTTCCACGCTGTACTCTCCTCTCCACCCTGCTGCTGATGTGGCTGATGTTGCTGATGGACCAAGAATCTGTGAACGCCCCCTGACTGCATGCTCCCTGCTCCAGTAACGTTTGGACACGTGTGAGGAGGAGAAGCTGCAGGCGGGCCCTCTAAGCCTCCTGGCCTGACGGCTTCTTTGGCAGTCTCCTCGTCAGGCAAGCCAGAAGATGGCGATGAGGAGCAGCCTAAACGGATAAGGGGTGGGGGTGGGAGGGAGGAGGGAGGGAGGGAGGGAGGGAGGGAGGGAGGGAGGGAGGGAGGGAGGGAGGGAGGGAGGGAGGGAGGTAGGGAGGGGCCTATGTTAGGAGACCTCATAAGAATTTGCCATAAGAGAAGAAGAGTGGAAATTTGACGGTACGCAGTGTAGGCGGAAATGGAGGGGGAGAGCGAGAGGAGGGGGAGGGCGGCGTCTAGCGAGGGGAGTGGCGCGGAGAGGAAGAGCGGGTCGAGCAGGGCGTGGCGGGCGGAAAGGGGAAGTACTGGCGCCGCCCCTGGAGGGAAGAGGGGGGAGGGGAGGGGGAGGGAGGAAAAGGTGAAGGGAGCAGGGAGGGGTGAGGAACGGGAATGTGATGCGGAGGCGAGGCGGTGATCAGGAGAGGAAAGGGAAGAGAGAGGCCGAAGGAGAGAAGACGGGAGAGAGGCAGGAAGAACAAGGGGACTGGTGTGGTACAAGGGGAGCAAGATGAAACAGCTTAGGGAGAGATGGGGGAGAAGAGGGAGCAAGGGAGGTAACAGGAAAAACGAGGGCGAGACGAGAGAGAAAACGATGAAGAGCAAAGAAAGGTGAGTGTGAGAGAAGAAGGGGAGGAGGAGGGAAGAGAGAAACAGGAAACGGTCTATTCGTCGTACGGACGGAGCAGAAGCAACTACGAGAGGGCCACGAGGTGGTCCGATAACAGCACGCACAGCACGCGGAGAGGTGACATCCATCGGTGCCTTCGCTTCTGTCGCAGCGGCGTCTCTCACGCCCGTGAAGAGCCTTTCATCTCCGATTCCGTCTATTGCGCTGCTCGCACGATCCGCTTCTACTGTCGACGCTACAGCGCGCACGTCTGGTGCCAGCAAAGCGGTGACAGCTGTTTCAACGGCTGCAACGAGCAGCCGCGTTTAGGCTCCCCTCAAATCGTGAGAGGAGCCGAACGGCTTCCTCCTTCTCGTCAAATCGCTGCTCTTGCTGAGCTGTAAAGACATCGACGGGATCTGATCGAGTGCTACTCAACTGGGAGCTGTCGTCCAGTCGAGTCGCCATGCGAGTCGCCATCACCATCGAGCCAATTATGCTGCTCCATTGATCAATTTCCTATCGTCGCTATTATATTCAGTCGTATTTTCACAGCGCCTGAAAAGACTACCTCGCTATAGCGGGCGAGATAAACACAGGGTGGGCGCGTTTGATGGCCGTAACCCTAAGGCCCGCTTTTGGCGACGGCGTAACTGTGCTACTCTCGCTGTCTAGTTTATCGATTGCCTGCACTAATGCTCTGATGTTGGCGGTGCGGTAGAGTTGTGGTTGCTAGCTGTTACTTGCTTGCAATTTGTATGCCGTGGTTGTTATAAGTTGTGAAAGGAAAGAGTGCGCAGAACTCAATAATGCGGAAGTGATTACAACGTCTGAATGAACAACGAGGCCTAGGCACAATATAGCAAGGCTAGCTAGGCCGAGGTCGCGGGGTCGCGAGATGGTTGGGTGCAGGTTCGGGGTTGGAAAACCCGAAAGCGACGCGGTGGTGGCTCGGAAGGCGAGGTCGGCGGGCCGAGCCTGGTTTTCCGAAAGTCGGGGTTGTACGCGTACAGTGTGACCCAGTAAGGAATCCGGAAAATTCCTTACACTACCCCCCCCTTTAAGAAAGGTGGTGAATATCCGAAACACCTCGGCGGGCCAGGTAAACGTCCAAAACCGGGTGTCCCAGTAGCGAATCAGCAGCGACATACGTGTCGTCCTCGCTCGTGCGGTCTTTCCAGCGAAGCAGGAATTTCACCGAGCGGCCGGCGGCAGTCACATCCACGCGATGGTTAAGAATCTTCCAAGGTTCCAGCGTTGGCTCTGCCACGGGGCGAGTGGTCGGCGCGATGGTTGGTCGAGCAACAGCTGGCGACTGCGGCTGTTCGTAATGACGCAACAGGCTGACGTGGAAGGCGTCATGGATTTTCCAATCGTCGGGCAGCAGCAGCTTCGCGGTGACAGGTGTCACCATCTGGATGATACGGAATGGTCCCACGTATCGGGGCCGTAATTTCGCGGGCTGCGGCAGCCGAAGGTTCTTGGTGTCCAGAAGTACAACCTGCCCTGTGCAGAAGGGTAAATTTCGTCGGTGTTTATCCGCCTGGCGACTGGCCGTGGTATTAGCCTTGCGAATGAAATCGGCTGCTTTCGTTCGGGCGGTTTGCAGTTCCGTGACAAACTGCTGCGATCTTGGTACCGGGTTGTCCACAGTCGTTGAAGAGGGTACCACGGGGTCTATCCCGTAATTCAGGAAGAAGGGTGATTGTTTAGTCGTGGCCGACGGGGCGGATTCCAGCATCGGCAGCGAATCTTCCCACTTGCGAATGTCGGGGCAGTTGGTGCGAATCAGCTGTTCCATGGTCTGATTTGTCCGATCCGTCTGTCCGTCGGTTTGCGGGTGGTATGACGACGAAAACTGCAGGCGGGTACCGTACTGTGCCCACGTTTCCTGCCAGAACTTCGACGTAAATTTCGGATCACGATCGCTGATGATCGCCGAAGGTAACCCGTGTAGGCGTACGACGGTGGAGATGAACAGTTTGGCTGTATCTTCGGCTGTGATCGTCGTTCGGCATGGGGCGAAATGCGCCATCTTCGTTAGGCGATCGACGACGACCAACACCGAGTCGTTGCCACTTGTGCCAGCTGGGAGCCCCGTGACGAAATCCATCGTCACCTGTTGCCACGGTCGTTCGGGTGGCGCGAGGGGTTGCAGCAGTCCGGCTGGCCTTTGTCGCGACGACTTCATTGCTTGGCAGGTCGGGCAAGTTGACACGTAGCGCTGCACATCGGTCTGCATGTCCGGCCAGTAATAATTCCGCTGCAGCAGCTTCAGTGTCTTGTCGGTGCCGAAATGCCCGGAGAGGTTGGAGTCGTGAACCTCCTGCGTCAGCAGCTCCCATAAAGGCTGGTATGCTGGTACCCAAATCCGGTTCGTACCGGTTTTAGGTAGTATTTGCCGTGCGGTGTAGCAGCCTGTTGTTGCGGGTTCCGAAAAAACCTGTCGATCTTGTAGCCGTGGGTGAATAGTCCTGTTAGCATCGGGTTGGTGTGGGCGATTAGTACTGCCGCGTTTTGCATGGATGGTCGGGTAAGGGCGTCGGCGATGTTGTTGGCGCCCTTTTTGTACGTGATGGTGTACCGGAAATTGGATTCGAGGAAGTCCAACCACCGGATTTGTCGCGGGTTGAGTGTCGGTTGCGTGCGCATGTACTGTAGCGATTTATGGTCGGTCCGAATCGTCACGTCGGCTCCTGTGAGGTAGCAGCGCCAGACGCGAAATGCATGGACGATGGCCAGCATTTCTTTGTCGTGGACTGGGTAGTTGCGCTCAGGTGGCTGCATCTTGCGTGACTCGTAGGCGATGGGTTGCAGCCCTTGGCCGAAGTCCTGTAGCAGGACGGCGCCGACGGCGAAATCGCTGGCGTCCGTGACGACTTCGAACGGTCGAGATGGATCGGCGAGGCGGAGTACCAGGGGTGAACCCAAAATGTTTTTGAGGGCGTCGAAGGCGGATTGCTCCCTCTCCCCCCACCTGAAATTGCTGTCGTGGTGCAGCAGGTCGGTCAGCGGCTTGGTTATCCCTGCCATATTGGGTACAAAACGACGAACGTAGTTAACAAACCCCAGAAAACTTTGCAACTCAGGGATATTAGTAGGCGACTTCCACTGAACGATGGCGTCCACCTTACGTGGGTCGATTTTAATCCCTTCGCCAGAAACCACATGCCCCAAAAACTCTAATTCCGGCTTCAGGAACTCACACTTAGACCCCTTTGTAATTAGCCGATGCCCCTGTAAACGCTGGAACACCTCCTCTAAATCCCGCAGATGGTCCTCTTTTGTCGCGCTGTACACCAGTATATCGTCCAGGTACACGATGACCTTCTTGTCCAGCATGTCCCGAAAAATTCCATTCATGGTGAGCTGGAACGTCGAGGGCGCGTTTGTCAGGCCGAACGGCATCACTGTGAACTCGTAACTGCCGTAGCGTGTGCGAAAAGCGGTCTTCGGGCAGTCGTCGGCGAATACGCGAATTTGGTGGTAGCCTCCTCGCAGGTCGATTTTCGAAAAATATCGAGCTCCGCGAAGTTGATCCAGCAGATCGTCGGTTCGCGGGATCGGGTAACGCGACTTTATCGTGACCCGATTCAGCGCCCGATAATCAATGCACATGCGTAGGCCACCGTCCTTCTTCGGCGTGAACAGTATTGGTGCTGCATACGGCGACGTGCTGGGCCGGATAAATCCCTTGGCGAGCAGGTAATCCAGCTGGGCCCGCAACTCGGCGAGTTCTGGTTGACTGAGCCGCCACTGTGTCCGCACAGTAGGTTGCGCGCCGGGCTCCAGCTGGATCCGATGATCCTCAGGTCGTTGGGGGGGCAAACCATCCGGGAGGTCATCCGCGAAAATTTTGGGATACTTCCGAATAATGCTCGCCAATTCCTCGGGGACTGCCGCGCAGAGGGTGTCGATGTCCGCGATTTTCTCGGAAGCTGCCACTTCGTACAGGTGCACTAAGAAGGCCTGAGCTCCGCTGTTCATCGCACGCTGCATGTTGACCGCGTTGACACGTGTCGTCACCGGCTCCGGCTCCGTCCATTTCGGAAGCGTCGTCTTCCCTCCGTATCCTCGCACGACGCACGCCCCAGTCGTCCAGTCGATCGTCGGATTGAAGCGCTGCAGCCAATCCCTCCCTAGCAGCACATCGCAGCCGTCCAACGTCGTCGCCAACATCCTCATGCCAAACCCGAATTTTTCGCCGCACTGTATCCGATTTTTTCGCGCCTCATCTCGGATGGCCAGCGGTGTCCCGTCCACCAACCTTGCATCGATCTCTGGCAGACACCTGGTTAGCTTCACCCCCATTTTTTTGGCCGTTGCCAGGTTGACGAGACTGTGGCTCGCCCCACCGTCAACGAAGATTTAAATTTTATAACCGTTAACCCTCCCTACCACCAGCACAGGGTAGTCCACGTGTTCACCCACGTTATTCGTCCGGTTCTGGTCGATAGCGCTGATCGGTACCACGACCCGGTGTGGATGGTGATTGTCGGGCGACAGGGTCTCGTCAGTAGGTGGCCCGTCTGCTACTGACTCGTATCTTTTCCCGACCCTTCTCCGTCGTTCTTCTTCCCCTGCTTAAGCCTCGGGCAGTCTTTTTTCAGGTGGCCCAGCTGGTTGCATAAAAAGCACGGCCCAAGGGCTCGGCTAGGTGCATCCACGCCGTTGATCGTGGGCTGCTGAGTCGGTCCACGAAATCGAGGGCCCTCCCGGGAGCTCGATCTCGCCCACTGCATCAGCGCATCCGTTGACTCGGCTTCCCGGACGGCGTCGTTGAAGCTGCGTGGCCGGGTTCGTCGGACCTCGTACTGTATCTCGTATTTCAGGCCCGCCACGTAGCGATCCAACCGCTCCGCGTCGCTCATGTCGTCCACCTGGTCCGCCAAGTTGCAGAATTTGCTGGTGTAGTCTTGGACTGAAGTCAGCTGCTTCCAGGTACGCAGCTGCATGCGAGCAGAGTCCGAGGCGGATACGTGCTCGAATCTGGTTCGCAAGGCGGCGCCCCACTCCTTCCATGTGCGTATCGTGGCCGTCCCGAAAATCGATGTTGCCTGATGCGTGACAGGTGTTGAAGTCCCGTCGTTCGCACGTACTATTCCTACCGAAGTCCCTTCGTGTTGCAGCGTTCGCCTCCACCACTCCAGCGCAGGTCCTCGCAACAGTGAAACTGCGAAATTAATGCGGGTGGCGTCGTCATAA